TCTCTCTCTCTCTCTCTCTCTCTCTCTCTCTCTCTCTCTCTCCCCCCGCCCTTGTGTGTGTGTGTCTGTGTCTGTGTGTCTATGTGTGTGTCTTGCTGGGCATTCATCCCATGACATCATGCATACAAGGCAAGCATCCTACCAACTATTATATCCCCAGTCCCTACCAAGACTTCTGTGTGTGACAAAGTCTCACCACATCCAAGATGGCCCTGAATTCTTGGACCTCCAACCCCTGCCTCCCCAGGACTAGGATTACAGGTGTAGAGCACTGCACCTGCATCAAAACATTCGTAATAATAATTAGGGCTATGGAGATGTCTCACTTAGGAAAAGCATTGGCTTTGCATTCATGAGGACCTGTGTTCAATCTCCAAGAACTCTCATTAAAAAAAAAAATCAGTGTATGGGCTGGAGAGATGGCTCAGCCATTAAAGGCTAGGCTCACAACAAAAATTATAAAAAAAAATCAGTGTGTTAGGTTTCTCTGCTGGAGAGACACCTTATCAGTTAAGAGCACTGCTTGCTCCTCCAAAGGTCCTGAGTTCAGTTCCTAGCAGCCACACAGTGGTTCCCAACCATCTGTAATGAGATCTGGTGCTCTCTTGAGGTAGAGACCTGGTCAGTTAACCTCTTCAACTTAGACAATGAAACAAGTTCAACAGAACCGCCATATATGGGCTGCCCATGCATACTTCAGCATTGCCAGGGCATAAATTATATATATATATATATTTATATGTATATATAAATATATATATATTTAAAAACATATAAATATATGTTAAAAGGGGATTTATTAGAGTGTTTCACAGGATGTGGTCCGGGAAGTCTAGCAGTGGCTGACTATGAAAGGCTTAAAATTCCACGGTTGTTTGGTCCACAGAGCTGGATGTCTCAGTTCCCTCACTTGGCCACCAGAGTCTTGGAGGAGTCCCAGAGAGCTACAGGTCTTCAGTCTGTGTTGAGAACCTGAAAAAGCTTTCTTATACTGGCTACAGAAACAGGATAGACGGAGTTGCCAGAGAAAGTGAGGGCAGCATTCAAACAGCTAAATTTCTTTCTTCCATGCCCTTGTATTTGGGCTGCCAGGAGAAGATGTGGCCCTGCTTTAGGGTGGGTCTTCTGCTTCAAAGCATCTGATTAAGAAAATCCCTCAGGTTGGAGAGCTGACTCAGTGAGTAAGAGCCTAGCTGCCCTTCCAGAGATCCTGAGTTCAATTCCCAGCACCCACATGGTGGCTCACAACCATCTGTAATGGGATCTGATGCCCTCTTTTGATGTATGTGAAGACAGAGTGCCAGAGTGCTCGTGTACATAAAATACATAGATAAATAAATCTTAAAAAGAGTGGAAGTCATAAAAAAGGAAGAAAGTAAGGGGGGGGGGAGAAAATCCCATATTGCTGGGTATGGTGGTGTGTGTCTTTAGTCGAAACTCTGTCTCAAAATGAGAGGGAGAGGGAAAGAGAGAGAGAGAGAGAGAGAGAGAGAGAGAGAGAGAGAGAGAGGAGGAGAGAGGAAAAAGAAAGAAAAGGAAGAAAAGAAATAATAAAGAAGAAAGAGGAAGGAAGGAAGACTGTTTCTCACAGGTATGCCCAGCAGCTTGGGATTTTTTTTTCTATATGTAGTCAAATTGACAACTAAAATTAGCCAGCACAATCACGGTGCTGGCACACTTGAAATCCCAGTGCTGGAGAGATGGAGACAGGAAGCTCCCTGGGGCTCATTAGCCAGCCAGTCTGACCTAAATGGTGAGCTTCAGGGCACTGAGACTCCAGTCCCAAGGGAAGCAGTGTTCTGAGGATGACACC